TCTGGGATTTATTTTTAACCAAAAAAAAAAGAATTTTTGTTTTAATTTGTTTTTTAAAGAAAAAAAAAAAAAATGATCTGTTCAATGGGTAAAGACTGCAGGTTGTATGAGCAGAAAAAGATACTATAATGTTATACTTGCACGCCAGATCTATTTTTTTTAATTTTTTAGTTGTTTAGGTGCTCCAGGAAGACCTAATCGTCTTATTGCAGAGCACTGTGGAAGAGTATTTAACCAGAAAGTTCATGCCTTTTTCATTACCAGCGATGCTTATTGTGCTATAGCCGACATAGAATCTCGAACTTTTTAATTCAAACCCAGAAATCTGACCATTGCGCTACTGCTGCTACAGGTTGATAACTTGAATATATTTTTTGTATGGGTTGTGTGTCCATCTAAAAGAAGTAGTACTTGCAATATTTTTTGTATGGGTTGTGTGTCCATCTAAAAGAAGTAGTACTTGCAATATTTTTTGTATGGGTTGTGTGTCCATCTAAAAGAAGTAGTACTTGCAATATTTTTTGTATGGGTTGTGTGTCCATCTAAAAGAAGTAGTACTTGCAATATTTTTTGTATGGGTTGTGTGTCCATCTAAAAGAAGTAGTACTTGCAATATTTTTTGTATGGGTTGTGTGTCCATCTAAAAGAAGTAGTACTTGCAATATTTTTTGTATGGGTTGTGTGTCCATCTAAGAGAAGTAGTACTTGCAATATTTTTTGTATGGGTTGTGTGTCCACCTAAAAGAAGTAGTACTTGCAATATTTTTTGTATGGGTTGTGTGTCCATCTAAAAGAAGTAGTACTTGCAATATTTTTTGTATGGGTTGTGTGTCCATCTAAAAGATGGACACACAACCCAAAAGAAGTACTTGCATGCTCTTACTCTTCTTTAACATTGTTTACTTGATAAAATTTACAACCATTTAACAAAATGGTCCAAACGTTTTCCGCCCATTTTTGGAGTAATTATATAAATTATGTAATGGCGCTCCTTTCTTTATGCAAAGTGCTCTAACTTGATATTTACCTGTGTGAGCAATCATTTTGAAAAGTGCTCTAACTTGATATTTACCTGTGTGAGCAATCATTTTGCAAAGTGCTCTAACTTGATATTTACCTGTGTGAGCAATCATTTTGGGTGTTTTGTGAAGAATAACAATTGTTTTTTATCAATATTTCTAGTTTACAGTAAACTTGTGTTCATCTAGTATGGATTCGTATATATCAGAAAATCTATAAATATTATCTTAATTGAAAGCTCGGGCCCTAACAATTGATGTTGCTTCTGGCATACGCAAAGACAAACAAAAATTATTTTTTATAAATGTGTAGCACCACCTATTCCTTGCAATTTCTTTTTTTTCTATCGAAGCAATGGAGCAATTTATATTTTTCTGCCAATCGTTAAACAATTTCTTAGATCAATTCCGTTAACCCAAATACAGGGCTTACTGTAAACATAGGGTTTTTCACACAAAAAATGTATTTCACTTTTTACAAACATTTTTATATATATATATAAAAATAAAATAATATAAATTGCTGTCTAAGTTGTCTTTACTACTTCATAAATTTTTAGATACAGTAGAACATTTTAAATATCAATAAGAAAAAACATTAGTTCAAGAAATTCTACAACAGCATTGTTCATGTACTGATGATAGATAAAAGACAGCAAAATGTAAAAAAATAAATAAAAAGTATGTATATTAAAAAGTATTATATTCATCAATAAATTTTAAAACTCACACAATAACCTCTTAGCGTTTAACAATTATAGTCTTTTAAAATTTGCAACCCCCTCAAATTGAGGGGGGCTCAAACTTTTTATGGTCATAGTTTTTGAACGCTAAGAGATTATTGTGTGAGTTTTAAAATTTATCGATGAATATAAACTTGGTTGAGAATAGTAGAAAAATTATTTTATCAACTTGTTGCTCTCACGTTTGGGGCAGGTGTAGCTAAAATTTTAGGCCTTTTTTGTTCTCAGGCTCCAATCATTGCAATTTTTTGTAAAACACCCTTATTTGATATAGGTGTAAACATATAAGTTATTAAAGTTTGCTCCATGTCTGGAAGTTAGGTATATCAAACATCAAAAAATGCTGCATCCGCGCCTGTATGCATTATATTACAGTTATATAAAAATATTTTGTATATTATTTAAAATCTGCAGAGCTATAGCTCTATATGAAATATATGAAATATCTCATATATTTCACATAGAAATATATGAAATATTTTAAATTAGTTATACATCTTATTTCTTTTTTATTAAGTTCATTTGAAAAGGCACTACACAAAATGACTTTTAATTCATCTTGTGTAGTGTACTTTGTCAAGAAATGTTTATTATCTCAATGGTTTTTTCTCAGGATCTCCAATAAGAAAAGGAAAATAAACGTTATTTTGAATTTTTTTTTGGCCTAACTAAGTTTAGACCCATTTTCTAACCATTTTTAGTGCCATTGATGCTAAGAAATGATTATGTTTAGCTTTCAGCAATAAAGGTGTCTCAGTTTCGTTGAATGTACATGGTTGTTTAGAAATGCCCATTTCTAGACAACCATGTACATTTTAGACCATGGGTAGTTAAATCTAAATATATTCTGATAATAAGAAATCTAAATATCCTATATTAAATTTTCTAGTTAGCATTCTTAAGTTTGTATAAGGGTTTTAAAAACACCGGAATTCTTAAATTTTTTTTTTTTTTTATAGCATCCTAAATATATATTTTGTTCTCTTTTATCGGGCTTGCATGTTATAAAGGCAGTACACTTTAAAAAGTCTTGCCCACTATCTATTATCACTTTAATATCAATCTCATTTGTTAGAGGTTTCCTATGGTTCATTAACATAGATATTAGCTTCTCTACATCATTAAAAATGACCCCAGGAACCTCTTGTTTAATCGGCTCGAGAAATCATTGATTCATTAAACCAATAAAATTTATAACCAATTTATTATTTTTATAAAATATTAGACTACCTCATGTAAATGTACCACTCTATCTTTTTTGAAAACACTCAAAAGATCAGAATTAAATGAAGGAATTAGTAATGAGTTTTCTGTTACGTTTGCAGCTCTTTAGTTGCTTGCAACAAAATTAATTTGTCCACTCTTATACCTTAGAAATTCAGCCATCTCTAATACTTATTTGTCGCTGTAAATATTTTTTGAATAATTTTAATTGATATAAGTTTTGATATATTTTGTAGATTTATAATCATAAAAAAATAAATTATATACTAAATTCTTGCCTAAAATGAAGCTTATTTTACAGTATTTTTAATTTAACTAAACTAAAATTTCTTAGTTTTCATATTGGTAAAATAGACCAAACATCTATTCCGTCTAAAAATTTTTAGCTTGATCTTAGTGTCACTTTTACCAGCAGGAGCACTTTTATCCAGGATTTTTTGGTCTTAGAAATAGCTAATTTCCAGACATGGAGTAAACTCTAAACATTTATATGTCTATACTTATGTCAAATAAAGATGCTTTGCAGAAAATTGCGATGATTTGAGCCTGGGAACAAAAAAGCCCCGAAATTTCTGCCCTCCACCTGTGCCAAACGTGAGAGCAATAAGTTGATAAAATGTTTTTGTACTATTCTTAACTAGACTTACATTTATCAACAAATTATAAACTTCATAGAAAAATTTTACCATATTAAGTTTAAACCCCCCCTCAATTTGAGGGTGTTACAAATGGTCATTATTTAAAAATAAAAGAACGCGGGGACGCGTGTTAAAATTTATAAGATATTACAAGATAAATAATATGTTAACAAAGTAAGAAACTTTCGCTAAAAGTATACATACTTGAAGATAAACGCAAATATTAAAAATAACTAAAATAAAATTTTCTGTTATAAATACAAGATGCGCTATCTATTATATATGTAGATTACAGTTGAGATAACTTGAGATAAATATTTATTTTGGGATGAGTAACTTTTTTTGGCGATTTTTTTTTTTATTATTCAATGCCTTTTTTTTATATTAAAGAAAAAATAATGTTTGGAGCTAATGCAGTGGTACAACCCAGTTGCTCGGTAGACCTGGGGATTGATAAAATAGCAATCGATTATCGATTATCGATAGCTCAATAAAATAATGTTAAGTTAAATCTTAATATGTTTTCTATGAAAAAAGGAGTTAAATTATATATTATTTACTTTTTTGATTTTAATTTTAACTTATTATTACTTTTTTTCGTTTGCAATGTTTTTATAAATGTATATGTTACATAGTATTGATGAATACTATATAATACATACACGCAAAGACACACACACAACATAACTTGTATTTTGTACATAAACAATTATAGGTATTAATATGAATCAAATTATACTATAATGCGTTATTTTAATTTATACTTCATATACCAATATTTTACTATAATTGTTTTAATAAAATAATAATAATAATCATAATAGTAGCGATAATGACAATAATAATAATAACAATAATGGTAATAATAATAATAGAATCAAAAAAAAACAAATAAATAAATAAGATGAAAAAACAAATATTTTGTAATATTTTTACTCAAAAAAGTTTTTTTAATTTTTTAAAATACTCTAAAAAGTTGTAATGTTGTATTTATATAATTATTCAATAACTCAAAGTGTTAACATCAACTGTAATCAATAAGTTTTTCAGCAATAAGTATATTTTTTACGTGAAGACCAAAAAAAAATTAAGGTTAATATGCATCATTACTTTTTTAGTTTCTATATAACTTAAAAGTAGTTTTAAGTTTGTTACAGTATGATTAGTTAAACTTGCGAAAAGCAAAAACCAATGATTATCTGATGAGTACCCGTTGTGAACGTAGCAATACAAAAACTATTTTTTAACCGTACAATTAGTTACTGTGTAAACCCGCATCGAATTTTTAAATGACATAGAGCGAAAGCGCCCTCAAATTGCATGCTCAAATTACTTTAACTTTTCTGTATGGTTACACCGAAATTGATATCTAGCTGCGTCGGTTTGCGATTGGTTATTTGTTGCAGGTGCGAAACACCACAAATGCGTCTCATTTTGCAGAAAGGATAAAACTGTATTCAACAAAAGCAGCATAAGAAATATACTCGCGCCACTATCGGAGGTAAGCTTCATGTGTAACCTTTTTTTTTTCTTCCTGCCTAACTTTTATTTAATCGTATCTTTTATTTTATCCTCAACTAAATGTTTCTTATTTAACTATATTCAAATTTTGTTTGAAAAGAATATTATTAGAAAAAAAAAGTAACAAAAATATAATAAAATAAAAAGATAGTTTTTTTTATTTTTGTACATTAGAATATATTTATTTGTTACATTTATATAATATGTATAATGTCCAAAAATTTTAATTTTTTAATAGTTTTATACGATAAGTTCTCACATATAAAACAATCATTTAAAAAATCTCTTTTCTAGGTATTAAAATATGGTGATCGCACAGGCTGCTTTAGTTTTACTTTTGGTTGCTGTTGATGCAAGTAGGATTTTGATGATTTGATTTCTGCCTTCATTATTTTGTTATTTTTAACCATTATCTACATTACATTTATTGTTACGGATGGTATTATGAAACAATGTGTTAACCCATAATTTTTCCAAAAATGAATTCATATTAAAATCCGCTATAAAAAAGTACATAGTTGAAAAATAGTTTATGCCGCATAAGCAATCTATTAACGTGTATACCGTTGTTAAATGCATATAAACATTTATTACAAACATTCAAAGTTTAAAACCAATTATCTCAGTTATGTGATTTTGTGGAATTACACGCTGTTGTATAACATCATTCATATAATAACGCAGAGGCGTAGAAGTTTTTTTTCATATTTTGGTTTTTACACTTGCAGGCATTGTGCAAACTCCAAACTTTTGTATGTTCATGCTTATTTTAAATGAGAACGTTTTGCAAAAAATTGCGGTGATTGAAGACTGGGAACATAAACTATCTAAAAATTTAGCCCCATATCCCTAACGCGACTTAGCGGACACAGAACATCCGCAGAATATCTTAACGACGCCCTACAGACTTGTGACGTCTATAAGACGCCGTTTAAACGTCTTACGGAAGTTTGTGCCCATTCGGGAGAGCAATAGCTTAATAATTTTTTTTAAGCTTTTAACTTAAGTTTTATAAAATGAATTTAAATATAGTATAAAATAGATAGAAAATTTTTTTATTAAACTCTTGCCCGCATATTTGGGGATTGGGGGCCTAATTTTGAGAGTACTTTTGTTCTCAGGCTCCAATCACCGCAATTTTTTTTGCAATCATTCTTCTTTTACATAAGGATGAACATACATAAGTTTAAAGCTTGCACAATGTCTGTAGGTGTCAAAACTGAAACATCAAAAAATCTTTCTTTTAAAATAACGTTAATATCCTAATAATTTGTTAAATTTCAAAAAACAAAAATTTTCTTGTCTCTTAACAAATCTCTTTGCACATTTATGTTTTAGATGACCAACTAATGGTATAGTTAATAAACACTTGATACTTGGCAAAATATTTTATACTTTTAAAACACTTTAGGGCCATGGGGACCTGGATGTGCGGATGGTAGTTATGGTTATGGTGGATGCGGTCACCATCAAGCTAACGGTTATGGCGGTGCACACCATGCTGCTGGTTGCTGCAACGGCCTAGCCCATGGCGGACATCACGGAGGAGCATACGGACAAGCTGCTCATCATGCCGGAGGATATGGTGGTGCATACGGAGGTATGGTTGTTTTTTGTTTTTAAAGAACTTATAGTTAAATAATATCAAAATCTTTAAATCGTTTAAAAAAAGAACAAAAATGTGTTTTGAAAAAATTATGTTAAAATAGTTTGTTATCATAACAGTCACCTTAATTACTTAAGGCAAAAATAAATACTTTTTCATTTTTATGTAAACAATGTTTTATTCTTGAAATGCTTCTCTGATTTCAAATGTTCTTTTTTTTTTTTTTTTATCAAAAGACTTCATCCAGGTTTAAAAAAAAATCTTTTTTTTTTTTGAAACTTTACTGTTTAAGAACTGTTAAAAGCGCGCACATTGCCAGTTTGGTAATCGCAGCAAATATTAATTTGATTTGTAATACAGAAAGCTTCACAACATAGGTGTCCAATTGTATCATCGAGTATAAATAATAAATAAAATACACTAAAGTACAATAAAATAAAAACACTAGCAAAAATGTTTTTTAAAATTTAATCTTATTTTAAATTGGCATTCAAATTAAGTAAAATCAACTTAAGTAAATTTTTAAGTTCGATTTATAGAACGGCGTAAATGTGAACCATGCAAGGTTATGTTTTTGGTAATATTTAAATCCTATAAGTATTTATATCCACAACATGTCATTCGTATCAAATTTCCTTGTCGGGTCAGAACCATATATGGTATTAATACCACTTAAGTGGTATAAAATATAAATAAATAATTATCAAGTTAATTGATAGCAGCGTAAACAAAGAAACTATTTTAAAGTAGTAAGGATATAGCAGCAGTGTTTAATTAGTGTGGAAAAAACAATTTACATTTAACTTTTTTTATTATCGGCTAAGCTTATCAACTTGTTTATACTATCTACCGGAAATGCAAAAAAAAAGACATTAATTAAACAAGCTATTAATTAAAAAAATGTTTGATTTAAGCAAAACCCTCAATTATATGTACAATTGTATGCACAATCCACTGGTCCTCTGGTTATATCAGTTGATGATGTACACTCCGTTGCGCCTATGGATAAATAAGTTTATGTATGTGTATGATGCATCTATTAAATAAAATTTTAAAATGTAATAATGTTTAACTAGGAATTACATAGTAATTACTAGGCAATAATAGTTAAAACACGTAAAAATTTGTACAATTTAAAATAAAGCAGAAAAGTAAAAGTTTATGTGTTGTGGTACTTTTTTATCCACAATGCTATCCTAATTTTAAGAATTTACTGCAAATTAAATTTATAAGTCAATATTTCTAACCGGCAATTAACATTAATAATATTAGTAACAATAATGTTATAACCCTTGGGGGTGAGCAGTGCCCCCTGCTTACCCCCCATCCCCTGGTGTCGTTGGCAGTGTAAAATAAACTTATTAATCATAATAATAAGTTTATTTTACACTGCTTACCTTCAATGTTATTTTTTTATGGATAATCCTTTAGATCCATTAGTTTTCGAAACCTAAATTGAAATCAGGATAGCCTACCAGAAATTGTCTTTTTTTCATCTTTATTTCATCTTAGTGGAAATCTGAGTGTCCTTGCCTAAATTGACTTGTACTTTTTGTGTGTTATTTACATATATGTACATGCATTTACATCTATAATTAGTACTTACATACAAGTTTATTCATTCAAAATAACATGCATTTAACGCTAACAATTTTTATCGCTTATTTTTTTTTACTTTTCATGCATGTATTTGCAGGCCATCATGAGGACCATGGAGAAGATGTTAAAGTAGAGACTCATGGTGTTCACCATATCGGTAAGTCATATCCAGTGGCGCTGCATAAGTAGTTTACTATTTAAAATCTTGCATGAATTTTTAATTAATTAAAAATAAAATTCATTGATTTCAAAATCATGCATGAAACCATATATACATGCATGAAATAAACATTTCAGCATCTCATGGTGGTATCCATCATGAACATGGTGGACTTAGAGGAGGACATCATGGAGCTTACGGAGGACATGGAGCTCATGAGGCAGGTAACTTTGGTCATGTTCATGGCGGACACTATGGATTAGGTGGAAATCATTATGGTGGCTCCGATTACGGACATGGACACCATGGTGGGTATGTGCATGAGCCTTGTCACACTCCATGCCACACTGTTGGTGGATGTGGTGGATGTGGTGGTTATGGACATCTTGGTGGTGTTGGTGGATATGGAACAGGTCTTGGTGGAGTTGGTGGAGTTGGTGGTCTACATGTTTATAAAAAAGAAACTGTGAAAGGAAAAAAAGTTCAACAAGTTACAAAAGCCGAGGAGGAGAATGAAGATGATGATGATGACGAATCTGGTAAGATTATAGAGCTGTATATTTGCATTTTGAATATTTAAGTTTGCTTTCAATTTTGATAATATCAAATATAATATTTAAGACTTTAGTTTAATGTAATATGTAATTTAATTACATATATTCACAAATAAGTGATGCAACATTGTTTAATAATGTTGTAAAAAATGTTATAATCTCATAACATTTGTAATGTAGTATTGCTTTTTTTAATTTCTGATTTAAGCTTATAGATAATAAAATTTTTGATTTATTCATTTTTAATTATTAAAAAACTTTTTATATTCATGTAGAAGATGCTGAAGCTGAAAGTGGAAATAGTAGTGATGAAGACATGCCAAATGGAGGTGATTAAATTCAACCTGTAAACTCATATATGTATATATAGAATTTTTATTTTGACAATGTAGCATTGTCCCTGTGAAAAATGGAATAAATTAATATAAAATTAATTTTGTGTATTGCTTATAGTTACACTTGTCCTTAGTATTTGTTCCCTAACATTTTATATTGGTTGTTTATTACAATTTTTTAGTGTATACTACAATACAAACTGTCAATAACGTTTTTTTATGCTTATGCTTACCTCAGGAAAGTGTAACTCTAAGGTAATGCACCCTAAAATGCCAATTAAAACTTTGACTGTTTAACTTTACAATCAATTTATTGGCAGCAGGGACAGTGTTAGCTTTGAGTTACAAATGAGGTTACAAAAAAAAGAGCTACTTATAAACTTTTAATAAGTAGCTTTTGTTATGAATGTTTAGCAAAGTTGCTAGATTATTTTTGGACATGTGTGACATCTTGTGGCTAGCATCCAAGTAGTTGCAGTGTAGTGAGCATCTTTTATGTTAAAGATCTTGAGATTGCACCAAACTATTTTCTTGGTAGTACAGCATTTAACTTTCAAGTAATAAGATCAAACTGTTATACATTTCATAAGGATTTTATGAAGCAGCTAAAACAATGCATAAATAAAATACCATGTTACTGAACAAAAAAATTATCATATCAGAGTGTAAAAAATTACTTTTTAATATCATGTTTGTAAATAAATAGAATGATAAATGGTAAAATTCATAAAGTCAAAGATCAATAAAACAATAATGGCCTACAATTAAAACAACTTTAAAAAAGTTGTAAAAAAGAATTGATTCAAAGCTGCTCAAACTAATTAGTTGGAAAAATGTTTTAGTTAATGTTAAAAGGTCAAGATAACCTTAATTTAATTTTTAATTAATTAAAAAAAATCTTTTTATAAAAAAGGCCTATCAAGAAGATCAGTAATTTTTTCATTTTCACACTTTCGACATAAAAACATGCAATCTTTGTTTTGACAGAGAAAATACCTGATTGCTGTTATATAGTATAATAGGAAATTTAATATTTTTTATTTTGTTTTAAGATGATCCTTTTCACATTTAGGCACAATGCTGTTTTATTTTCTCCTTCATTTTATTTCCCCCTCCTTAGCTTATTCCGTTCTTTAAATTAGTGTTTTTTTAGTAACTAGTTAGCAAATTTAAACAAAAGTATTTTTCTGGTGATCTTTTCGAATCGTTTAATTGAAATTGCTAAAAACTGATTTAAATATGTTTTTTAAACACATTCAAAGCGACTTTGAATTTTGATTGAATGATCTGGTCGGATTTAAAACTGTTATGGTTTTTAATAAAATTAGAAAAAAAAAAAAGCAACATTTAAATGCTTCATAAAATGTCCTGGCATTCTTCTTGTAGCTCTGGAGATCCCAGATTACATAATTTGTTATCTGGGATCATGTAAATCAAAAGCTCAAAAAATTAAAACAAAAAACAATATTAAGCCACATAGAAGCCTTGTAAGTTTTACCCTGTAAGTGCTACCTTGGTTTAATTAATTCAAATCTTAATGTCTATAAATGTAGCAATTTTGAAACTTTGATAACTGTTGTAGTTTTCCTGAAAGTAAGGGAGCATCAATTTTTACATCAAACATTTTTGTTTCACTTTGTTTTTTTTAAATGTTTTAAATTCTTATTTATTCAAGACTCAAAAAAAAAAAGTATTAGGCGCAGTATTAAAAGTTCACAGTACAGAAATTCTGAAGTGCCTAATTATAGTTCACAGTACATATACTCTGAGGTGCCAAATTAATATGTATGGCCATTAATTTTGCACTAATAATTCTCAACATTTTTTCCAAACTTATTCACCCTATTACAACTTTTCTACATATATATGTGTATAAGCATATATGTCTATAAATCCTAAAAGTCATATTCTTTTTAAACAATATGTTTATAGATATATAAGTTGAATTCGGTGAAAAAAGGCAGAGTATAAACTATCAATTTTCTAAATAATAATTGACATAATATAAGTGAGCTCAGTGCCAAAGCTAGTTAAAACTAAGAGTTTTAGAGTATATAAGGTGTGTATATATATGGTGATCATCTTATCTGTAGACAGGTTGACACTCTCCAAATAAATTTTTACACTCAAAGTTTTAAAACGCCAACTTTAACCCAGAAAGTTTTTTCAACACAAGAGAAATAAAACAGAATAATGACAGAAGAAAAAAAAGTTAATAGTACATGCCAAATCTCAAAAGCCTCCAGAGATAGCTATTTGAGTATCACATCTTCAATGACGTTTCATGCAAGGCTAAGCATGAAAATATAATTATATATATCAAGCATCAAAATGTAATTATATATATATATATATATATATATATATATATATATAATTACATTTTGATGGTTGGTTGCCGATAAATAATCCATTTACATTTGAAAGATGTATGTATGTGAAACAGAAAATATCTAAAATATGTGAAACAGAAAATATCTAAAATATTTATATATGTATGTATGTATGTATGTATGTATGTATGTATGTATGTATGTATGTATGTATGTATGTATGTATGTATGTATGTATGTATGTATGTATGTATGTGTGTATGTATGTACATATATATATATATGCATATATACATATATACATATATATATATATATATATATATATATATATATATATATATATATATATTATATATGTTTAATGATATAAATATAGAAGTTTTTCTATTTTGGGATGCAAAAATAGAAAAACTTCTATATTTATATCATTACTTATATACTTTAAGTGAAATATATATACTTATATATTTCACTTAAAATATATAAGTAATTTGCTTTTTTCTAAAAAAAAATTGTTTTTGAACTTTAAATTGAAATATATATATATATATATATATATATATATATATATATATATATATATATATATATATATATATATATATATATATATATATATATATATATACATGGTGGCCACAGTCCTGGAATGTCCTGGATTTTTGCAAGTGTCCTGGAATGTCCTGAATTGTCCTGGAAAATTACATTTTTTTCAAAAATGTCCTGAAATGTCTTGGAACTTTTTTTTTTATTGAGTCAAGTTAAAAAATTACTAAGAATATTGAAGTAATATTAAATTTTTTTATGCGAAATTTTTTTTTATATAAATGGTTTGAATTTAATTTTAAATAAGAGAGTAATAATTTTATAATAATATAATAATATAATATTCTATTCTATAATTAAATCAATATGAAAAAAATATACCGTAAAGATAATTGATAATATTCATTTAATAAGATATAAAATGTCCTGGAAAACGCAACAAAATGTCCTGGAATTTAACTTTTAAAATTTTGTGGCCACCATATATATATATATATATATATATATATATATATATATATATATATATATATATATATATATATATATATATATATATATATATATATATATATATATATATATATATATATATATATATATATATATAAATATATATATATATAAATATATATATATATATATATACATATATATATATATATATATATATATATATATATATATATATATATATATATGTATATATTACATAATAGTTTATTTAATATATATATATATATATATATATATATATATATATATATATATATATATATATATATATATATATATATATATATATATGGCCATAATATATATATATATAATATGGCCACCATATATATATAGTTTATGTAGTATATATATATATATATATGGCCATAATATATATATATATATAATATGACCACCATGTATATATATATATATATATATATATATATACATATATATATAAATATATATATATATATATATATATATATATATATATATATATATATATATATATACATATATATATATATATATATATATATATATATATATATATATATATATATATATATATATATATATATATATATATATATATATATATATATATATATATATATTACATAATAGTTTCATGTTATTGAATTAAATTTAAAAACAAATAAATTCAGTTGTGAATTTTTAACAACTTTTGTTCCTTTTTTCAAGAGATGATAATTTTTCAACAAATATACTTTTAAAATATTTATTTGAACTTTTTCTAGGTTTTCTGAAAGTACTTTGAACTTTTTCAACAGTTAACAATGTTCAACAGTTAACAGTTCTGTTTCCTCTCATTATAATATCATAAACAAATTTCTTCATCATTTTGCTCTTTTTTGATGTTTACTAGTATTGCTTAGTAGCATTAAAAAAGTAAATTCTGAAATCTTTTAAAATCAATTAAAGATTATTCTCAGTATTAAATTTAAATCAGCATTTTAGAAATAATCAGCAAGTTAAAATTACTTTGCAATATTTGCTTTCTCCTCAAATGACAAATCATTATCCATTTGAGAAGTTCTTTTAGAATCTAAATATCAACTAAGTTTGTAAAGAGAGTTTAAAGCTGTATCTACAGCCTTTGGTTTGGCACTAAGCATTTAGTACTGGTGCATTTGATGTATTGCTTTAAGATAAAGAAAAGGAGATCTAATAGCCATTGCCTGTAAAACCAGTATAAAAAGCCTGATTTCTATCTAGAGTTTATTGTTTTTGTTTACAAACTTTTTTACAAGTTGGTTAAAAAGAAGCTGTAGCTTTAGTTAGTACAGTCCTTTGGATAGGAACCTATCACAATAAACTGCTTTGTTTTTTCTTAGTTTTACTGAAGACAGAGAAAGGTTCATAAAATTCTGCAAGCTCTTTTCTACCTTCTCTGATAATATCTTTTTTCCCTTGTTAATAAATTTTTGAAAAAAGTTTAAAGACTCTAGTGCAGTTTTCTCAGAAAAGTTCTACTCTGCTTTCTTCACTCCTTTTCAATCAAAATTTATTAGTTCTGATTATTTGTAATTAAAATCTAGATTTTCAAAAATAGTTTTTAATTTTTTAAATATATAGTTACCAAGTCCTATAAAATTTGAAATTGAATTAAAAAAAGAAACATTTTTAATTCAAATACATGATGCCTGTATGTAATAAGTAGTAGAGATTTGCCAAACATTATTAGATATTCTGAGTATCAAATCATTTCTCCTATTTTGGACTCAAGGTCGTACTCCTTAAGAAGGTCCATTACATCGATGCACTGCTCTTCACCAAAGGATATTGGTAATAGTAGTGCTCTAAGTAGTACTTATCTTTTAAATATTGTCCTCTCACCCTTAATATTTACAAAATAAGATTACAAGGCTATCATTTTTTCATTTATTTTCCATTGGTACATAGGTATGTATTTTCCATTGGTACATTGATATTGGTACATAGGTATGTAGATTCATTTATTGCTTGTTGAACATCTTTGCTATCATGCATATATTATGATATGCATAGTTTGTTTTTACTTCAAGAAACCCCCCCCCCTCCTCTATCCTCTTGGTAAATTATCACAAAACACTCGACTAAATTTCACTGATTGTAGCCATAGGTGCAAGATTACAAAAATATCCATTAAAGTTTTAATTAGAAAAAAGAAGAAATAAAAAGTTTAGCTACATTTTTTTTTGCTTAAGGAATTAGTTATAAAACTGAATATAACCTTTTGTGGCTGGTTTAGCTACTTCAAAAATGAAATTTAAAAAAAAAAAATCTTTGTGTTCTTTCATTATATGTTTTCTGACTACCTTTTCCCTTATTATTTATATTTAAATTACTCTATTGAATTTTTATCAAAAAAATCAAGGTCATGTCAGATTCCCTGGTTATAGAAGTTTCTAAATTTTATTTAGATTTAAATTATTAATTAAAACATAATTAAACAATTCAATAATAATTCATTTTTTAGCCTGTATTCAAACTAATAAGACACTTTTAATCATCTTTAATCTGAGAAACTAATAAGACACTTAATCTTTAATCTGAAAAACTAATAAGACACTTAATCTTTGATCTGAGACTTGCATAGGGGGAAAACACCATAAAATTTGTCTAACTGGAATTGCAGCAGCAAATGCAGTGAGTGATTAAATTTCTATGTTTGTCAAACAGTAAATCAAAATCATCTTGTTACTTCAAAAAAGTAAAGCACCTTGCGAATACAAAAATTAAAATAAAAACTGGATTAGTAAATATATACAAAAGAGAAGAAGAAAATAGTATTTATCATAGATAAAGAGACATAGCTATTGATAAAGGAAAAGATCTTCTTGTTTTTTTTTGGTTTTTTTTTGCATGGCAAAAAGTAAAATCTCTGCCATTTTTAATTTTTTTGTGAAAGCAGGAATTTAGGAAGTTCAGCAGAAATCTGCCCAGTCAGAAGATGACACTCTTAAATCTTCAAAATAAAATCAAAAGTACAAAAGTTGAAGATGTCATTTTTACAGATGAAAACTTATTGAGCACAGTTCCTTAACTAAGAAATAAACAGTTAATAGAAGAAGTAAAGAATGCAATTAAAAATCATGGTAATGATGAGGAAGGTAATGATGAGGAAGGTA